AGCCTAGCAGCCTAGCAGCCTGGCAAGCCTAACAGCCTAAAGAAAACTAAGGACAATACAAACATATTTTTCATTCTGACGCTTTGAAATTTGGGGATTACACATGTTTTCGAATAAGGTAGGAAGTAGTCTTAATCTTAACATTTTCGCGGCTTATAATGTCGCTGTCTATGGACAATAAGCGACGTCATGTGACTTATTTATGATATGCTATTTTGTATGTATATGTTTATAATGAAGTTGACGATGTTCAACGCATATTAATTTTAGGTCCGTAAAGATAAATCGGTTGAAATGTAAAGAGATATACAATGCATATGTTTAAACGAACACATTAATGAACATAAAAATTATCTGAACTTAAGAACAATACCCATTTGATCAATAGCCGCGATACTAAAAAAAGACGTGGATTAGTCTAAGTATGTGCTACCGACTAATTTCCGACGGTTTTCATGTTTGTATTATCCTTTGGTTTTCTTTAGACTGCTAGGCTGCTAGGCTGTCAGGCTGCTAGGCTGCTAACTTCACAAATTTCGAAGAGTAAAAAAAACAAAGTTCAATATTAAAAAAAATAAAGTTCGCGATACTGAAAAAAGACGTAGAATAGTCTAAGAATGTGCTACCGACTCATTTCCGACTTTTACATGTTTGTATTGTCCTAAGTTTTCTTTAGGCTGCTAGGCTGCCAGGCTGCTAGGCTGCAAGGCTGCTAGGCTGCTAACTTCACAAATTTTGAAGTGTAAAAAAACCCAAAAAAACAAACAAAGTTCAATATTTAAAAAAATAAAGTTTGCGATACTGAAAAAAGGCGTGGAATAGTCTAAGTATGTGCTACCGACTCATTTTCGACGGTTTACATGTTTGTATTTTCCTTAGTTTTCTTTAGGCTGCTAGGCTGCTAGGCTGCTAGGCTGCCAGGCTGCTAGGCTGCTAGGCTGCTAACTTCACAAATTTCGAAGCGTCAAAATAAAAAAAAAACAAAGTTCAATATTTATAAAAATAAAGATCGCGATACTGAAATAAGACGTGCAATGATCTAAGTATGTGCTTCCGATTCATATCCGACGATTTCATGTATGTACTATTCTTAGTTTTCTGTAGGCTGCTAGGCTGCCAGGGTGCTAGGCTGCCAGGCTGCTAGGCTGCTAGGCTGCCAACTTCACGAACATCATGTGCCACTCCCTTTGAGGCAATTTATTGCCATTTTATATTTCATACAAGCATTTTTGGAAGCATTCTTTTATGAATTTTGCATCAGATATAGATCTATAGCTTTATACACTTTAATGGAAAAAATATGATACTTTGCTTATGAGCTGAATAAACTCTTCTTTGTGAGAACGTGGAAAGATATATTTTATATTATGTACAGTATTGTCGTCTGGTTAATGGTTCGAAGTTTCCTTTTTACATTCAAGAGAAAATGCAAACACTTATTTATGACGTCTTTCACTAAAACCGCTGACAACGTTTCCTGATTTATATCGATCTCTGTAGATAAAAGTTAAGAAATGCAGGCATCGCCATTTCCTGAAGCTTTAATTGACCATTTTTCTCACTTTTATGTATCTTGCATATCTTTGATTAACTGACAGTTAAGATTGTTTTAATTAAAGCACATGTTTGTTAAGCACATTTGCTACTCTAAGAAATGTTTGATTAGATGTAAACATCATTTAATACTTGCTGAACTTCACAAACGTTCGTTAACCTAAGGTCTATGACATGAGTACATATACATGTAGCGATAAAAGGTGTGCCATGTACCTGACTGATCCAGGGGAATAGCCTTATTTGAACAGCCGACGTGCATACAGAGCTCCAAAGGAGTTAAAATCTAAAAAAATGGTATATTTGTCATAATAATTATCAAATTTATGAATTAGACAATAAAACTTAATTTAAGCTCCTTTTAGAACAAAATTCATTGTCTTTAACATACACTTATGGACGTTGAACTATGATTAAAAACACAAAAAAAAACTGAAATTAAGTTTTATTGGATTTAAATGTTAAGTATATATGCTAGAATTGGCAAACACTTTATTTGGATTTTAACGCTTTTAGAGCTCCAGATCCCAAGTGACTATGTCGACTTGGGCTTCAGTAAAAATACTTTGGTTTCCGTTAGAACATACCAGTGTTAAATACTCATATGTGAATAGCATTTACCTGAAATCAAATGAATTTTTTTTTTTTAATTTCAATCTTTTTTTTTTTTAAAATCTTAAAAAGACTGCATCAAATTATATATTACCTTGTAGCCTTACACATTATATTACATTATATTAGTTGAATAATGTTATCAGCACATACATTACTTATATAATCTAGTCGTTATGGTTCAAATAGAATACAAAAAGAATGAACGTTTTTATATATAGTGTAGTTGACATGATATTGAAGATGAATATCATTTTGTTTTGCTATGCACTTGTTACAATGACCTACGAAAAAAATGCATTAAGAGATTTTACTACGTTAAACCAAGCATGTACAATTTTGTAGAATTACATATATATATTATAGTGATAAATTAGATTATTTTACGTAATCTAGCTTGTTATATTCGAAAAGCATTAGCTAAGAGGACGTCAGTTGCACATCGTTGAATCCTTATGTAATTTAACTTAGATAATTATTATGATTGCATAATTTGTAAAGTTAAAGAAATACGGAATACATCTTGCTTTGTTAACATTTCAATATGATTAAAGGTTGCGCAATTATAGATAAAGCAATAAAAATATCATGTATTGTGCTAACATTTGACTATGATATAATTCATATGATTATGTTACTTATATATTTTGAAATATTTGAATGATTGTACGGTGTATTTTCGTGTTTTCGCTTTGCGCCCCGCGTACTGAATATATGACACAAATCAGCCACCATAATACTCCACAAAGCCCCCTATAACAAACTTATAAAATGGATTGCTTAAATTAACTATTGAACAAATAGAAATGAGTATAGAAATGGAGTCTTCATTGCTTTTATTTAAAAATCTGAAACAAATGAAAGGAGGTAGAAATAGATAGATAGACAGATGTTCATTATTTCCTCCATTTAGAAGAGCATATCATATTTACAAACATTGTATAATCGTGACATATATTTACATATATAACAGTAATATGATATTGACATTGTTACAAATACAAAAACTGTACAATTATACATTCTATAATCGTATTAGGTTTTAAAAAACGCAATTACATGTATTACAAACGCATGATGTTAACAAAATGCATTGCATTTGTACGGTGGCATAGAGGGGACATCAAAAATAGTTTATCTATCACGTGCGCACACGACAGCTACTACGTGCACGCGATAACTACTACGTGCACGCGATAGCTACTACGTGCGCACGCGATAGCCCCTAGATATATTTCTGAAGGCCCCTTTATGCTATCGTACATTTGTTACCATTTAAATGTTACAAAGTGTTTTTGTTTTTTTGTTTTTTTTGTTTGGTTTTTGTTTTTGATGGCGCTCCGTGGAGCAAAAATACGACATGGCACAAATCAGCATCCACAATACTCGGCAAAGCCGCCTTTACACAAATTAAATAGCTTAAATTAACTGTTGCACAAATAGAATTATGAACTTACTGATTTTATTTAAAAGCTGAAATAAATAAAGGGAGGTAACTACGATGGAATTATTCTATTAACACAATGAATTAACTCCCATTTTCTCTTTGGCCGGAAAGTTTCCTTTATTTATCAACTGATACCAGATAAAAATGTTCAGATCATCCGCAATTAGCCTCAGGTCACCTGTGAATGATTGTTTCCTTTGATACTCACACATGGTTGTCAGGAAAAGGATTATTTTGTATGATCTGGAAACGAAATTTACAGCTACTCATGCAAATTGTTGGTTAATATCTTCTTTTGCGATAGTTACGCCCTGAGAAAAAACCAGTGAACCCAAAATCTGGATTTCAGTACACAGAATAAACGCCTCTCCCAAGCTACCATTTGGACATAATTATTTGTATTTATTCACTTCAAATGAAATATTAATATGTTCTTTTTTTGTAAGAAACCCTGTTTTTTAATAAGCTTTTGCTATTGGTTAAGCGCATTTTTTTAAAAAAAAAATTTTCTTTTTCTTTTTTACATGTAAATTGCCTACAAAACCTTTTCGTCTCTCAACCAGTAATTTCCTGATATTGACTATATATCTTCTCCTCATGAACAGCGGTGGAGAGCCTCAAATTAATTGCCGTTAAGAAATCGTCTCTTAAAAAAAGTACCAGGTCAGGGATTCAAATCGCGTACCAAGGTTTGGCGGAGCTATGTGGTTTTGACTATGTCTATTAAAGTGGAGCGGAGTAGAATATAATGAGAAAGAATTAAACCCGCCGCGCGGGACACACACTATTATTTTGACTTCAACCGTAGAGTAAACTTTTTAAATAGTTAATAGTGTACTTTTAAAATAATATATGAACTCGATAATAGGCGGATTATCATTTATTGTGTGGGATTTTTTATTCAGCATTCGAGAACCGTTTTCACCACATCCTTCTTCTATCGGATGAAATAAGAGTAAAATCTACTTTGGATGCTTGTTAAATTTTGCACTTTTGGTCAACTAATAAAAGTGCGATAAAGTTACTAAGTGTTTATTATAATAATTAATTGTTCTAAAAATAACCTCTATAACCAAATGTATTACACGTAAGAACCAGTTTTTTTCAAACCATTCAATAGCTAACAAATAAATAACACCTATATTAATATTAACCCGTTATTTTAACTCCTCGTTTTTTTCAACATTTAAAACTGAAGCGTTTCAATGCCCTCTGCCAAGAAGAAACAATTGGGGGATAATAAATTTGTAAAATTTCGTAAGCCTTTCGGCAAACCCGGGATTTGGGTTACGCATTCGAGTGGACGTCGTTTTTATTCGGGATCAAGTAATAGTAGGACGAAGTCTTAGATTTTTTTGTCTAAATTGTCCGGTGGCAAGTCAAATCAATAAAGCTCTTGAAACAGTAGGGGAAAACACGATAAATTTCTGCTGTAAATAATGAAGTTGTTTATTTTGTGTCTTCTGTGTGGAATTTCCCAGGCGGCCGAATGTAAGTGTTAATCCGTTATTCTATAGATATGTTGAGCTTTTGTTTTATTTTGGGTACTGGATTTTTTTTAATATATATAATCTGAAAATCCAATTAGGAATTTAATTGCAAATATACATGGTGTATATACATGTATATGGGTAACGAAATGAACCCGAAAAATTCCAGATTACGATAAAATAATTTACATGAAGAATACATGATGTTGTATTGCTGATAACAAAAAAAAAAGTTTGATAAATTTCATAATAATCCGATTAGCTTTTATTTGTTTATATTGATAAATAACTGCATAATGTACCGTTTTTAACATGACCGTCACCTTAACACGTATAATTTAAATGAAAAGTACGAAAAAATTCTATTATCTAACAATTTGTCGTACTGTGGGTAACTAACCGATTTTTTTTCAGTTATAATTGATTGTGCTATGTAAATTGATTTCCGGTTAAATCGAATTTTAATGAATTAGTTGTTTGAATTTAGTCGTAATCATGGACAGAGCTGCATTACTGGTACGTACTGCAGTAAGTTTGCAAATACCAAGTTTGCAAGTAAGTTTGAGTACTGGTACTGATACTGAATTACTCTTATAAAATGTTGCTACTACTGGTACTGGTACTGCATTACTGTCTTAAAAAGTGGTACTGCTACTGCATTACAATGCAGTACTTTTGTTTTGATGGACATGTCATCAGTTTTTAGCTCGACTTTTCTATGAAAAGGGGAGCTATCCTACTCGCCCCGGCGTCGGCGTCGGCGTCGGCGTCGGCGTTGGCGTCACACCTTGGTTAAGTTTTTCGTACCACCCCACTTTATTTCAGAAGTATTACAAGTATGGCTTTGAAACTTACCATACTTGTTCACCATCATAACCTCCATCTACAGACAAGAGTACATAACTCTGTCAAGGTTTTTGACAGAATTATGGCCCTTTTTTGACTTAGAAAGTGTATTGAGCTTGGTTAAGTTTTTTGTGTACCACCTCACTTTATTTCAAAACCATTGGAGGTATTGCTTTGAAACTGACCATACTTGTTTAACATCACGACCTTCATCAACAGACAAGAGGACATAACTCTGTCAAGGTTTTTGACAGAATTATGCCCCTTTTTGACTTAGAAAATACATTGAATATGGGTAAAATCCACTTATTGCCTTAACCCTTTGAGATATTGCTTTGAAACTTTTAATGCTATTTCACATCATTACCCCCATCTGTACGCAAGAGAAGGTAACTCTGTCAAGGATTTGTTTTAAAAATTAAGGCCTTTTATCGACTTAGAATCTTGGTTAAGTTTTTAGTACCAGTCCACTTTTTGACTGAACTGTTTGAGATATTAATTTGAAAGTTGGAATACTTGTTTACAATCATGATTCCCAAACATGTCCAGGAGAAGGTAATTCTGTCAAAGATTTTATTTGAATTATGGCCCTTAACTGTCAATGTTTTGTATTATAGGCAAGCACTAAAAAACTTAAAAAATCTAAAAAAATTCATTCCTATCCACTTGTTCACTTTACCATAAATTATGTCATATAAACATTGCTGTAATATTCAAGGGTATCAAACAACTAGTTTTTTTTTCTTTCTTACCAGCCCTCTTTTGACTTAAACATTTCAAACTTTGCTGCAGTGTTCAAGGGTATCACACAATTCAGTAAATAATTCTTCACTAAATATCTTAATGCTCATGGCCATTGTTCACTTTAAAAATACAGAGATTCTTGTATTGCCTTTTACTGCAAAAACTTTTTTTATTGGCAAGCAATAAAAAAGTCGAGCGCGCTGTCTTACGGACAGCTCTTGTTCTCTTTGTGTTTACTAGTAAAAAGAGAGCAAGATAAACACTAATAAAGTGCTTACATTCTAAATAATACTATTTCATCATAAAAAGTTGTTATTTACTATGGTATAAGCTGAACAGAAGAATGAAAGGCAACAAAAGACTGTTGTGTTTTAAATGAAAGACAATTGCATCGTATTACAGTTGACTTGTTACTAAACAATTAGATATGACATGGATGGATTTTTATGTTGTAAATATTGGTTGTAAAAAGTATGGCAAAGTATGTAAAGTATTGTAAAAATGTAATTTTAGCTTTTAAAGTAAATAATAACTGAATAATGTTTGCATTTTTTTTAAATCTGAAGTGTACACATTGTTTAAAAAAATGTATCATTAAAATATGTAAATATACGTGCTAGTTTTGTTTGACAGAGTGTATTTATTCAAACTATCGTACTGGTACTGATACTTAATTACTTCCTAGACAGTTTGTATGTTTTGGATAGGCTAGAAAATTAAAGATATTTCAATCATTTACAAATCGATACATTGAATTATATAATAAATGCAGTTGTATTGTTTCTGTGTATTTTTACATAAGTCAAAATATTACTAGATGATTTCATCCTTTATAAATGACATTTTTAGTGAAAAATAAACCATCAAAATGTTCTAAAATTTCCAGTGACTTGTATTTGTCTCGTCTGCTGTCTTGTACAATTGGCATCCAGGTACGCATTTATGTTGGCGGGGTTCGGGCGCAAACTATAGTTTGGCCGTACTCAATGCGCTGCGCATGACCAAACAAGAGTGTCTGGTAAAAGCTAAAGCAAATTCGTGACATCAAAATAGTCGAAGCACAATCGGTCATTTCCGTTAGTCTTCGGATAAGGACCTCAAACACAAAAGTAAGGATACGGTATTTCGGTCAAACCTTGCTAGGAAAACTTTTCATGTAAACAAATAGTACCTAAATGCTGGTAGTTGTTGACTAAGTTTACTCCAATATATCGAGTAAGAGTTCAAATTAAGTCTTTATAGGTATAAAATAGTACAATATTTATATTATGCTTGTTGAAACCGAAAATACAAAATGTCTACCGGTTGACATATATCGGATTTAGATTCTACAACAGTTGGCATTTTATATAGTCATAATTTTACCGATTCGGGAATAGATTTTATTTTTCTTTAGATGTCAAAACATTAGTTATACATTATCAAAGATTGAACTGTCTGTTTTTGTTTACATCTAAAACCATTGGTAAAAACTATTTTCAATCCGCATTAATAATAACCAAGATGTTCCGATTGGGCTAAGCATTTTAAGTTTTGTGTTGTCTAATCGAGGTGCTGAAACCATAGTTAGCACCCGAAACACTGCCATAATTGACTTTTGTACGTTTGTTACGATTATAACAGAATTTTGATTATAAACATATGAATTTAGCAGGCAACATTATTAAGTGAACGAATGCCTTCGGCTAGACTGACTTTCGACTTCTAACAAGACATACATGTATGTTTATAAAAGAAAACCAAGTGCCGTCTGCTGCAGAAATCACGAGTGAAAAACATCCACATAGGATGGTCAAAACACTAGCACAGCTGTTTTTCTGGGTCAAAGACAACATATTAGTTAAAACAAGTAATTTGAAACGTACATTCGTTCGTATTATTGTTAAACGGAGTTAAAATTCAGTATGAAACAAAATCATTGCCTTTTTAGGAGATTTGTGGTTCGAGCGCTTATTGAAACATGAAAAAACCTTTATTATTTTATGGCGAAACGATTCATTTTACGCTCCGAAATAAATTCTTTTCCTTTATTAGTTAATAGATAAATAAAAACACACACATTTCACCTTTGTGCCACCGTAAAGATTTCATTAGAGGATATTAATTTTTTATTCAAAAGTTCAAAGGTCAATGTCACACTCATTAAAATGGCATAGAATCAATATATTGCTAAGAGAGAGAATAAAGTCACAGTCGCAAGCCAAAAATGATGATAGATTTATAAAGAATAGACAAAGAAAGAAAACCTGTGAAGGGAATTTTCGTAAGTTTGCACCAATAAATAGATTCAGGATTGAACCAGTTGGGGGTTACCGTCCTTGTGGTTGAGTTATGTGTCCTTGAAAGAGTTTTGTTTATTTGCTTGTATTGCCAGGAGGTGTGCACCTCTTTTGGTCGATCTTAACGTATGACCTTCGCAATTAGGATAAAGGTTGCATTTTGAAAGTTTAGCTGTACGTGAAACCGAGAGCCTTAACAGCCATGGCAAAGAAAGAAAGAAAGAAAGAAAGAAAGAAAAAAGAAAGAAAGAGAGAAAGAAAGAAAGAAAGAAAGAAAGAAAGAAGGAAAGAAAGAAAGAAACATACACAAAACACACACAAAAATTGCTAATGACTTTTTGGTTAAAAAATGTGTATATTTTGATCCCAGGTTAAACCGATATTTTAACACGCATCAAATTCCGTTGTTTCTGTTTAGATAAAAAATATACAGTTTAGCGTGAAAATGTGTATCAGAAATAAACAACTTTGAGAAGGCGTAAATCACAATTAGCAGGAGAACGAATTCGCTCTGACATTAATCAGCACAGATAAAGATCAATACTTGTATAAGTGAATCAGTTGCATGTTTCCGGCCCTTTCCGTCAAACTTCGGAATTCCGATTACGAATGTTGTAAATCTTGCGTCAAATTGGAACTGCCCATTTTTAATATAAGGGACATTAGAGACTTATATCAAATGTTGGGACAAACCGTCGGTGAAAGGATTAGCTTGAATTTTTTTAACAGCCACTAGTACTAGGATGTGGTGTAATTCACTTTGATTAGGAATTATAGAGTATTGGTCACGATTTTCTAAGTATCAGGAACATTCTGTAATATTTTGTCGTGTATCTGGAACATTTTGTAATATATTGTCGTGTATCTGGAATATTCTGTAATATATTATCGTGTGTCAGGAACATTCTGTAATATATTGCCATGTATCAGGAACATTCTGTAATATATTGCTATGTGTCAGGAACATTCTGTAATATATTGTCATGTATCAGGAACATTCTGTAATATATTGTCATGTATCAGGAACATTCTGTAATATATTGCCATGTGTCAGGAACATTCTGTAATATATTGTCATGTATCAGGAACATTCTGTAGTATATTGCCATGTGTCAGGAACATTCTGTAATAT